GAGGCCCGGCAATGGTGGTGTAGACACGCACAAATCGACGGTAGTACCCGGTTAGACCAAGGAAGCCACGTAGTTGCTTAATCGTGGTGGGAAGAGCCAATCCAACATCGCTTGAATCTTGGAAGGGTCTAGTTCAACGCCAGTACCAGATACAATATGTCCCAAATACTCAATACGGCAAACGGCAAAAGAGCACTTCTCACGCTTCGCATAAAGACAATTATCACGCAAGCAACTAAGCACAATAGAAAGGTGATCCACATGATCTAACACCCCTTTACTGTAAACTAGTATGTCATCGAAGAATATGATTACGAATTTTCTGAGGTATGGTCGAAACACATCATTCATTGCAGATTGGAAGGTGGCTGGAGCGTTGGTGGGGCCAAAAGGCATGACAATGAACTCATAATGGCCGTCATGTGTACAAAAGGCCGTCTTGGGAATGTCAGACTCTGCCATATGAATCTGATGGTATCCAGAACGAAGATCAATTTTTGAAAAAATTGTGGCACCAAACAACTCATCAAGTAGCTCATCCACTGTTGGAATAGGAAACTTATCTGGGATTGTAATGCGATTGAGGGCATGGTAATCCACACAAAACTGCCAGGATCCATCCTTCTTCTTGACAAGCAAAACTAGTGATGAAAAAGGGCTACGACTTGGTCGAATGATGCTGCTATTTAACATGTCCTTCACCATGGTTTCCAATTCACGCTACTGAAAGTGAGGATCTGTATGGTCTGACACATACTGGTGCTGCACCTGGTTGAAAAGGAATGTGGTGATCATGTGGTCGGGGTGGCGGCAACTGAGTCGATGGCGCAAACATAGTGGCGAAACTATCCAAGGTGGTTCGAATGTCTTCATCAAGTATTATAAGCTCTGATGAAGGTGAAGGATCATAATGCGTTATAGCTAAACTATAAAGGTGGAAAGTTTCTGCTATGGAATCAACTACTAATAATCGCTCCAGTTGATGAAATTTGATTGGTTCCACTAGATGTCATTGCTTGCCACGTAAAATCAATGAATTACCCTACCAAGTGAAAGAAAGAGTGAGAGCTTTATAGTCCATTAAAATAGGTCCCAATGTGGAAAGCCATTGTGCGGCTAAAACTAAATCTGCCCCTTTAATTGGCAACACAAATAAATCCAAAAGAAATTTATGACCATCTAAAACCAATTCAACATCTGCACAAACACCTGAACAACGAAGAGTTTCATCATTTCCAATCATAACAGTAAAATTAGGGGAGGCAGTAATGGGAATGCCCAAGTGAAGGGCGACCCGTTCTTGAAGAAAGTTATGGGTAGATCCTCCATCGACTAGGATCTCTACTGGACGGCCTAGAAGATTGTCATGCAGACGAATGGTGCTCGGACTCTGTTGACCAAATAAAGCATGTAGGCTGATGGCAGCCAATTCATGTTCATCTGGCAACACGGTCATCTGGCAATTCTGGGGACGCCTCCTCCTTTGCAATCTCATCTACTATAAGCAAGAAAAATTTAGCCTTACAATGATGGACCCGATGGAACCTCTCATCACAGTTGAAGCAAAGGCCACGGTCGCGTCGCTCCTGCATTTGAGCCGGGAAGGGAACTTGGCACTGGTGTAATTGGAGTGGCAAATCGATGAATAGAAACTGGCGTAGGCAAAAGGGGAGGTAGAGTCGAGCTAGGCCCTAAACCCGAGTGATTGGCCACCCAAGGACGCGAAACAGGCGGGCAAAGGTGTTGTTGCAAGTCATGGAATTTGTCTTCCTATAGTTTTACAAGGCCAAAGGCTTGTAAGAGTGTTGATAGGCGAGATGAGCGGACCTCACGCTGTATTTCTGGTTTCAAGCCTAAAATAAAACAACTCAAAAGATAGGTGTCAGAGAGGCCGGAAACTTGAGTCAAAAGTTCCTCAAAGGAAGATTGATAATCTGTCACTGAACCACGCTAGGTGAGCTTGAACAATTGGCCAGTAAAATCAACAAACTCTGAAGGGCCAAAGCGAACTTGGAGGACTTATAAGAATTGGCGCCAAGAATTAAATTGGCCATTATCATTCATCCAACGATACCACAATAGGGCTAGTCCTTCCATGTGAAACGAAGAAATTGGGAGCTGTTGATCCTCCAGAGTTGAATGATAATTAAAAAAGCGCTCTGCTTTGAAGATCCAACCCTTCGGATCAACGCCATCAAAACGAGGTACCTCCAAACGGAAAGGCTTAAATGAAGGAGTAGAACCACCGGAGTCTCTGCCACCCAAAGAACCCACAACCGTGGAATCCCCATTGCCCCCGGAACCATTGCCCGTAGCCATAGAAGTGTTAGAGTCATGAAAGTGACTCTATTTTGGTGATAAAAATACCCCATTTGTGATTAAATTGAAGTATATTGAGACAATTAAAGAATTTATGAATTTATTCATGAAAATCGCTTCCTAATATTTTTCTTATGAATTTAACGTGTTTAGAATGATTTTGGAAAATATATGAGTTGATATTAGGTTGTGGTTTATGGATTAAGGGTAATTTTGTCTCATTTATGCTGTTTAGGGGGTAAAATGTCATGTNAAAAATGGGTACTTTCCAAGGGTTGCTAACTTACATTAACAAGTGAATTTAAAGTGGTCCAGGGGGCAGAGGTTCCCATTATTAGCAAGAAAGAAAAAAGGGAAAAAGAAAGGGAGAACGACTTACACATACCCAAGATTTGTCGTAACGATAAATTGGTACTTAAAAGGTTTTGAAATGATAAATAAGTACCTTCCGTCATGTTCTGTTAATGATTTCTGTTTATTAATAGTGAAAAAACTAAAATGCCCTTAAAAGTTTGAATTTTAGTCTTTTATAAATTTAAAAATTTCTAAAAAACCCCATAGGTTTACAAATTTAACTAAATAACCCAATATATAAAATTTTTGTAAAATAACAAAAACACCCCCACCACCCGCGGTGCCAGATTCCGGCCACCACCGTCGGAATCTGGCCGGAAAGTTGCATTACGACACAGATCCGTCAGATCTGTGTCGTAAGGCGTCGATCTGGCTCTTTCCGGTCAGATTCGTGGCTGATCTGGCCGGAAAAGGCTAGATCTGGCCGTCGACGCCGCAAAACTCCATCTGCGGCGTCGACGGCTAGATCTGGCCGTAGATCTGGCCGAAAAAGGCTAGATCTGGTTGCTGTTTCGACGGCCAGATCTGGCCTTTTCCAGCCAGATCTGTGGCAGATCTTGCTGGAAAAGGCAAGATCGGCACGTTACGACACAGATCCGACGGGTCTGTGTCGTAACGCAACTTTCCGACAAGATTCCGACGGTGGTGGCCGGAATCTGGCACTGTAGGTGGCGGGGGTGTTTTTGTTATTTTACAAAAAATTTATATATTGGGGTATTTAGTTAAATTTGTAAACCTAGAGGATTTTTTAGAAATTTTTAAATTTATAAAAAACTAAAATTCAAACTTTCAAGGGCATTTTAGTCTTTTCACTATTAATAAACAGAAATCACTAACAGAACATTACGGAAGGTACCTATTTGTCGTTTCAAAACCTTTTAGGTATCAACTTGTCGTTATGACAAACCACCCAAGTCGTTCGGCCAAAAAGAAATGGCGAAACAATTGAAATATTAAGGGATTGTAATGGGGTTGAAGATGATACAGAAAGCACATAAATACGAATTGAGTTAGTAGGAGTTATGATATCAAAGCTTACTAACTTGAGCTGCATTTATACTATTTGAAACCATCCATTGTTTACCCAAAGCAATTAATTCTCCATTTTCTTTCCTTCTCACCTCCACCTTAACTGATGTAAGCCTTCCTCTCTCCCCAACGACCTTTGCCTCTATCTCTACTTCTTCCTGCCATCATTTTTGTTATACTTCATTACATTGACTCAAAATTAAGAAGCCTGTTCATCATAAAAACGTTCCAAAAGGGCAAGTATTTGAAAATCATTTTCTTTTGTTATGCGCCTTTTTTTTTTTGAATTCGTGAATAAAAATTGATAAAATAGAATGTTATAGATTAAGAAAATGCACCAGAATCTTAACCGAAGAATAAAAGGAAATAATGAAGTCAACCGAGGCCTTGATATGGCCAGCAAAGGAGTATATGGCAGCCGCCCCGACGTCGTCGATTAACGTTGCCATCGCTCCAACTTGCCAATTCCCATGGTTATCCTAAATTAATTTAAATAAATCTTTGAAATTAAAAACAAAATAAATAATTAAGATGAAAGGAATAACAAAGATTAGAGAGAGATCAAATTTACTGCTAATCGGATTGGTATGGTGAAATTACAGCGTACGAAGCCCCGATAGGCGTTGACGATTTGAAGGCCCTGAAGAGTTAAGGCCTCCAGCTCATGACCGATGACACCTTCTGATAGATCTTTCAGCCATTTGTTTGATTTCTGCACAGGATTATCCTTCATCCTATATCTCACCCAATTTCTTCCTCTTTTCTAATTCTTTCTTGTTTCTAGTCTACTATTGATTATGTTTGTGGGCTCCGCAAAGGAGTATATGGCATCTTACCAGCCATTTGTTTGCTTTCAAATTAGAGTATTTCTCCCACTCTCCTGTGACTGTGACCCACCAAAACGAAAATATATTAAATATTAAAATGATTTTTTCTAAATTTTTTAAATATAACTCTAATTAGTTTTTCAAATATGTATATATAAATACTACAAATTCATTAGACTTAAATAGAATTAGATAGAAAATGTAAAGGAATATCGAGTTGCTAATTGTCAACTCAAAGCTTGCTCAGTCGAAGCCATCCATTCCTTCCACCTGCTCAGATTGAACAACCCTTTTTCTTATCTTATGTAGAGGATTGTATTTCACTTTCTTCCTTGGAAATTATTTCTTTTACTTCTTGTTATTTAATTATTCCAGGCATAGTTAGCAGGAGTTGTCACAAGAGTTTGGCTGCAGCCATAATGGTCATTCTTAAATATCAAAGAGGAATTATTCAACAGTCATTTATACCCATAAGATACCTGTTTATTTATTTCTTGGCTTTGATGAATACAACTTACATAATTCTATAAAAAAACAAACAACAGACACAGGATCAAGTTGCCTATTTTGAGCTCTGTATACTCAATATAACTAAAGGTAAAACAATCAAGTTATTAGTACATATCAAATTTTTATTACGTAAATCAAGCTACTAAGCTCCTGCAATCCATTTAAGCAAGCGAGAAGCCTGATCGAGGTTAATTATATTCCTTAACCAAGAAACAAGGAAAACAGATGTATGCAGCATGTAAATTTCCATATATAAAGTTAGTAGGAAGGTAGGTAGATGTTTCCATGTCAAAGGTTACTTTGTTGAATTGATGTAGATATCCATAGTCTACCCACAGCAATAAGTTGTCTATTATCTTTCCTTCTGATCTCCACCTCTGCAGATGTTAGCTTTCCTTTCTTCCCCACAACCTTTCCCACTATCTCAACTTCTTCCTGCCATGTATGACCATACCCAATATAGATATAGATATAGAGATTGAGATAATTCATTAATTTCATGATTTTACGGTAAGAAAATGTACCTGGAGCTTAGCAGTGGAATAAAAGGAAATGCTTAAATCAAGGGAGGCCTTGAGGTTCCCAGCAAAAGAGTAGACGGTAATACCACCCAAACAATCAATTAACGTTGCTATTGCTCCAGTATGCCAATTTCCATCATTATCCTACAATTCAAAACTTACACATATATAAATCATAAACAAAACTAAACGATGAAAGTAATTAATGAAGAACAAGAGATGTATTGATGAATTACTAGTAGGTGGATTGGAACAATAAAATTACAACGAAGAAAGCCCTCGTGAGCCTCTACCAGTTGAAGGGCTTCAAGAGTTACATGATCCAGTTGCGTACCCATCACGCCCTTTGACGATCCTTCAACCCATTCAATTGAATTCTGCAGAGCATTGTTGTCTATCATGGTTCCAATTCTGTCACTGTTGATAATCTTTCTAGTTTTTTCTAATTTATATGGGTAGGCGCAGGCGGCAGGCTCCACCAATGCAAACTTTTCAAAGCCCGATTAGAATTAGGGGAGGCTAAAGTCGTATAAGTAAGCATTACATACACATAACTAATATAATTAATTAATTATATAATTTTGGTTGCGTGGCTGCGCTGGCATATGGGAATAATGGCAGGTTAATTGGTCAGTTTTATCCCCAAGGGTTCACTTCACTTTATTATATTTTTCGTGAGCTAACTCAAATGATTTACATAATACAGTTAAATATACAAATAGAGACAAAGAAATTAATACCCATGAGATAGAGAGATGAGGGTTCATTTGGTGGGGGAGCATTTACTTTAGATTTTCTCGTTGATAGATTAATTAGCAGCAGATTGATAATTTTGAAAGCACAGGAGGTGGTCAATAATTTATGGTCAAATTCTAGTAGTTGAAATTGAACGACACACATGGTGTAAGCATGACTACCAAATCCAATAGCAAACTAGTTTGGTGATCATGCCGCGTTTGATACTATTACCACATCGAAAACTCAATGTTATAAAATACTACATTATGTAAAGGGTTTTTTGGGGTAGGTGTTTACTAAAAATTATCTTTAGATTTGTCATGTCATAGTTTCGGATTTTAATGACATTCGAAACTTGCTTGCTAGTTGCTAATGGACATGTTTATGACAACTGACAACCCATAATTTTCATTAACATTATACTCATAAACTCTTTTCATTAACTTTCTCTTATAAATGTCAGTTCATAATTGATCAGTTGGCAATAAGATCTTTCTCATTAATTTTCTTTCACAAACACGACGTATTAGCTTTCAATGGGTCATGTCTGACCAAATACGAACTACCACGTCAGCATTGATCAACATAATAAATGCTATTTCGTGTAAATAAAAACAAAATTCAACATATTACCACTGTGATTCAAATTTATAGGTTGATATGAAGATTGGCATGAAGCCATGACTCTTGACGGTTACAGGTTACAATACCAGCCAATATAATCAAGCCTTAAGTAAATGGCCTTGCTGCAAGCTGTTAGGGAAGAAGAGATTTTGAATGATAGGGAGAAAAGAGATTCTGTTTTTACGAGGAACAGGGCCTCCAAGATGGAAGGTTGAAGAAGAAGTTTATCACTTTTATTATTATGAAAATAAAGTTCTTTTAGGCTTATAAAGCTTGACACCTTAGCTCTTTCCTACTACAAAAGGACTCTTGCATAATGATAAAATCCTATTCTTTATTGACTTCAATTCCTAATACTATTCTATATTGAATAAAATACTAATAGCTGAATAAAATACCAATAATACTCTAATTATAATCATTTGCCAATGCAGGTATTCTCTTTGAAGGCATGGACCTTCTCACAACATTTTCATGTAATCATGCAAGTTCCTAACCTTGCCCACTGCTGCAGAATCAACCTTGTCCTCCAGGTTGGAAGGGATAGTGCCATAAAGAGCTGCAAGGTCATCAGCATCTTCCCATGACGTCTCTTCCAAGGGTAGCCCGTGCCATTGAACCAAACATTGTGAAACTAAGGCCTCATTGCGAATGAGTTGCCAAGTACTCACAATGGTGAGTGGAGAAACCAACGGTTGGCCGTGATAAACCAAAGAGGGAAGAGAGGAAGCCGAAATTGATAGGATGCCATGGCATGGTTTAAGCAAGGAAATGTGAAAAACAGGATGAATCTTGGATTCTAGCGGTAACTCCAGGCGGTAAGCAACCTTACCAAGTTTCTGCAATATTGTGAATAGCCCGTAATACTTGCGGCCTAGCTTCGTATAACCTTCCTTGCATAGGGAGACCTGTTTATATGGTTGGAGCTTCAGGTAAACGGATTGACCCACCTGGAAGTCCTCTAACCGGCGGTGCTTGTTGGCTTGGCGAACCATGCGCTGTTGAGCCTTGGCCAAGCTAGCTTTCAACTCCTTAAGAGCCAGATCACGAGTACTAAGCTCGAAATCGACAGCCTCTAAGTTGGATCTATGTGGAACAAACGGCACAATGGTAGGGGGATCGCGGCCATACACCAAGTTAAACGGGGTGGTACCTGCGGCGGTGTGGAAGGAAGTATTGTAATAAAATTCGGCCCAAGGCAAGTACTCCACCCACTTGTGCTGTTGGTCCATGACGAAACACCTCAAATACTGTTCTAAAAATCTGTTTGTAACCTCTGTCTGGCAGTCGGTTTGTGGGTGATATGCGAAGCTATGCTTGAGAGTTGTGCCACTGAGTGTAAATAGTTCCTGCCAAAACTTGCGCAAGAAAACAGGATCTGGATTACTAAGGATAGTCTTCGGCAAGCCATGTAATTTATAGATCATATGGACGAATAGAGCAGCCACTTTGGCAGCTGTAAACCCATGACGCAAAGGGCCAAAGTGAGCGTACTTAGTTAGGTGATCTACCACTACAAAAATGGCCGAAAACCCCGAGGAAGGAGGCAGCCCGGTTATGAAGTCCATTGAGATTTCCTCCCAAATCTGGAGTGGGATGTTGAGTGGTTGAAGAAGCCCCCCTGAAGAACAATATTGATGCTTGGCTTGGCTACACACATGACAACGTTGAATAAAAGACTTGACATCCCTAGTCATCTGCCGCCAATAAAAGTTAAGAGCCAATTTACTCAAAGTTTTTCGCACTCCCCCGTGACCACCCAATGGGGTCGCATGAAATTCCACTAAAAGCAGCTGCTTAATTGCTTCATTATTAGGCACCACTATGGGTTCCTCTAAAAATAACAATCCATCATGAATCGTATAACCTGTAGGGACCTCTAAACCCAATGAAATGTCATGAATTAAGGCTGCCAATTTGTTATCCGCTTGAAGGGCTACTCGTATTTGCTGTAAAATGTCAAAGGTAGGTGCCGAGAGCCCAAGAAAGGTGTGTGGTTGCAATGGTTCCGTGTTGAACTGACGAGAAAGAGCATCAGCAGCGACATTGTCTTTTCTGGGTTTAAACTCACCGAAAAATCAAAGCCTATTAATTTGACGAGGTAAGTTTGTTGTTCTGGAGTGTGAGCTGTTTGGGAGATGATTGCACGAAGACTTTGCTAATCCGTTCGAATGAGAATTTTCTGCCCAGTAAATATTGTCGCCAGCGCATGACCGCTTCAGTGACGGCATATAATTCACGCTCATATGTTGAAGCACGCTGTAGACGAACCGATAGTTTCTTGCTGAAATAAGCTATGGGATGTGAATTTTGCATCAATACAGCCCCAACACCCACTGCGGAAGCATCAGTTTCAACAATGAACACCTCCCTAAAATTAGGCAAAGCCAATATTGGTGCAGTAGTCAAGGCATTCTTGAGATTATCAAAGGCTGTTTGGGCGTCCACGGACCATAGGAATTTATCTTTCTACAAAAGTGATGTCAGAGGCCCAGCAATGGTGGTATAGGCACGCACAAACCCACAGTAGTGCCCGGTTAGACCAAGGAAGCCATGTAGTTGCTTAATCGTGGTGGGAAGGGGCCAATCCAACATCGCTTGAATCTTGGAAGGGTCTGGTTCAACGCCAGCACCAAATGCAATATGTCCCAAATACTCAATACGGTGAATGACAAAAGAGAACTTCTCTCGCTTGGCATAAAAACAATTATCGCGCAAGCAACTAAGCACAATAGAAAGGTGATCCACATGATCCAACACCCCTTTACTATAAACTAGTATGTCATCGAAGAATATGATTACGAATTTTCTGAGGTATGGTTGAAACACATCATTCATTACGGATTAGAAGGTGGCTGGAGCATTGGTGAGGCCAAAAGGCATGACAACGAACTCATAATGGCCGTCATGTGTATGAAAGGCGGTCTTGGCAATGTCAAATTCTGTCATACGAATCTAATGGTATCCAGAATGAAGATAAATTTTTAAAAAAGTTGTGGCACCAAATAGCTCATCGAGTAGGTCATCCACTGTCGGAATAGGAAATTTATCTGGGATTGTAATGCGAATGAGGGAACGGTAATCCACACAAAATCGCTAGGATCCATCCTTCTTTTTGACAAGCAAAACCGGTGATGAAAAAGGGCTACGACTTGGTTGAATGATGCCGCTATTTAGCATGTCTTTCACCATGCATTCCAATTCACCCTTTTGAAAGTGAGGATATCTGTATGGTCTGACACGTACTGGTGCTGCACCTGGTTGAAGAGGAATGTGGTGATCATGCGGGTGGGGGTGGCAGCAACTGAGTCGGTGTCGTAAACACAGTGGCGAAACTGTCCAAGGTGGTTCAAATGTCATCGACAAGTACTATAGGCTCTGATGAAGGTGAAGGATCATAATGCGTTATAGCTAAACTATAAAGGTGGAAAGTTTCCGCCACGGAATCAACTGCTAATAATCGTTGCAGTTGATGGAAGTTGATTGGTTCCACTACTTGCCACGTAAAATCAATGAATTACGCTGCCACGTAAAATCAATGAATTACCCTGCCAAGTGAAAGAGTGAGAGCTTTATAGTCCATTAAAATAGGTCCAATGTGGAAAGTCATTGTGCGCCTAAAACTAAATCTGCCTCTTTAATTGGCAATACAAATAAATCCAAAAGAAATTTATGACCATCCAAAACCAATTCAACATCCGCACAAACAGCTGAACAGCGGAGAATTTCGCCGTTCCCAATCATAATAGTAAAATTAGGGGAGGCAGTAATGGGAATGCCCAAGTGAAGGGCAACCCGTTCTTGAAGAAAGTTATGGGTGGATCTTCCATCGACTAGGACCTCTATTGGACGACCCAGAAGGCTGCCATGCAAACGAATGGTGCTCGGACTCTGTTGACCAAATAAAGCATGTAGGCTGATGGCAGCCAATTCATGTTCATCCGGTGGCACGGGCTCAACTGGCAATTCTGGGGAGGCATCCTCCTCTACAGTCTCGGCCACGATAAGCAAGAAAAATTTGGCCTTACAACGATGGCCCCGATGGAACCTCTCATCACAGCTGAAGCAAAGGCCACGGTCGCTACGCTCCTGCATTTGAGCCGTCGTGAGCTGTTTAACAGGAAGGGAGCTTGGCGCTGGTGTAACAGGGGTGGCAGATCGCTGAATAGAAACTGGCGTAGGCAAAAGGGGAGGTAGAGTCGAGCTAGACCCTGAACCCGAGCGATTGGCCACCCAAGGACGCAAAACAGGTGGGCGAAGATGTTGTTGCAAGTCATGGAATTTGTCTTCCTGTAGTTTCGCAAGGCCAAAGGCCTGTAAGAGTGTTGACGGGCGAGATGAGCGGACCTCACGCTGTATTTCTGGTTTCAAGCCTGAAATAATACAACTCAAAAGATAGGTGTTAGAGAGGCCGGAAACTTGAGTCAAAAGTTCCTCAAAGGAAGACTGATAATCTGTCACTGAACCACGCTTGACGCCAAGAATTAAATTGGCCATTATCATTTGTCCAACGATACCACGATAGGGCTGGTCCTTCCATGTGAAACGAAGAAATTGCGAGCCGCTGATCCCCCGGAGTTGAATGATAATTAAAAAAGCGCTCTGCTTTGAAGATCCAGCCCTTCGGATCAACACCATCAAAACGAGGTACCTCCAAATGGAAGGGCTTAAATGAAGGAGTAGAACCAGCGGAATCTCCGCCACCTAAAGAATCCGTACCCGTGTAATCTCCATTGCCCGCGGAACCATTGCCCGCAGCCATAGAAGTATCAGCATGTTTCTGTGGGGTTTGTTGATTGTGCGCAAACTGGGAAGAGAGAACCGATAAATGCACCGCAACAGTCTTCAAGAAGTCTTCAAACGAATCCAATTTGGCTACCAAGGCATCCTGCTGACCCGAAAGTTGGCTAACAGTGTCATCTAGGGAGCGAGTTTGGAACTGTCGGCCATGGAAGGGAACGAAAGCACCAATGTTAGGGAAGAAGAGATTCTGAATGATAGGGAGAAAAGAGATTCTGTTTTTACGAGGAACAGGGCCTCCAAGAACGAAGGTTGAAGAAGAAGTTTATCACTTTTATTATTCTGAACATAAAGTTCTTTTAGGCTTATATAGCCTGACACATTAGCTCTTTCCTACTACAAAAAGACTTGCATAATGATAAAATCCTATTCTTTATTGACTTCAATTCCTAATACTATTTTATATGGAATAAAATATTAATAACTGAATAAAATACTAATAATACTCTAATTATAATCATTTGCCCATGCAGGTATTCTCTTTGAACGTATGGACCTTCTCACAACATTTTCATCGTAATCATGCAAATTCCTAACACAAGCAATCCGAAAAAGACAAGTACTGGCTATTAACCAAACTCTAGTTCCCTGTAATTAGGAATATACAACATGAAACTGGAGATTCTTTGGATAATTAGTGCACAAAAGGGATTTAATGAGCATATCGTACCTCCATAAACTTGATCAAAAAATTTATTACTTTAATTCCCTGTAGTTAGGAATATACAACATGAAAATGGCTACTTTTATTTGATGCAGACCAATAAAGAAACTGAACCATGAACATCCGAAATTACTTCATTAGAAATAGTATAAATGATTTGATGTTTTCAAGATCAAGTCCGTCATCTGTTTTGCAGGAACACTTTATCTTTAAATGTTGTGATCAGTAGATTAAGCTCAAAGCTTACTCACTATCCTACTACCTGGATTGCTGGAAGTCATCCATTGTTTACCCAAAGCAATTAGTTGTCCAGAATCTTTCTTTCTCACTTCCACTACTACTGATGTAAGTTGTCCTCTCTCCCCTGCAACCTTTGCCTCTATCTCTACTTCTTCCTGCCATTGTTTTTACTATTTATTGTTATACTTCATTTACTTTCACAACATAATCGCACACAGCTTTTACATTAACATATCTAGAAAAGGTACAAATATACTACTAGATGTAGTTTAGATATTAAAAAGACAACATTTCATTTCTTCTAATCTTCGTTTCATAAACTGGTTTTCTATTGCAAATTAAGCTATTAACATTTCACACAATCAATTTATGATGTTATGTTATTCTATTATTTGCGTTAACATTGTAAAGATAGGCATTGGCATACCCAGTTCATAAAACTGAACTAAACCGGCATTTTCCACATATGATAGGGTCAGAATAATAAAGGTGTTTAGATTGATTTCATTAGAATAAGAAAATATACCTGAACCTTAGTGGTGGAAAAGAAGGAGATGGTGAAGTCAACGGATGCCTTGATATGACCAGAAAAGGAGTAAATGGCAACCGCTCCAACGTTGTCTATTATGGATGCTATGGATCCAACTTCCCAATTTCCATCTTTATCCTACAATTACATTAAATACACATCTTAACCTTATAAACATGGAATAAAACAGTAATAATAAATAAGAAGGAAACAAAAAAGTACTGCTAGCTTCACTGGTACGAAATAACTGCAGCGTATAAAGCCTTCTTGAGCCTTGACGATTTTAAGATCCTGCAGTATTATGTTTTCCAATTCATGACCGAGCTCGCCCTCTATTACTTGTCGAAACCATTCGTTTGCCCGTGCAACTTTCTTGTTCATTCTAGATCTTGCTGTTTTCTGGGCTTCTGACTTGATTAGGTGGCAGCTTGATTCTCGATAATTATTATTGGTGGTCATAAAAGAATTTTGGAAGATTAAAGTTTTCTCATTGATGCCCGTCTCTGTTATCTCTACTTTTTGAGTTTTTGTATTTTCTATGTTTATCTTACATTCCACCCTTTATTTTTTTAAAGTGTTCTTCACATGGACCTGAGAATTCAGGCCGGGTGTAGGGGTGTGTGTGTGTGGGTGTGTATCAAGAGACGTTAAGTTGAAGACTTGTTTGTAATATCTTACTGATTTTAACAGAAACGTTAGGGTTGTCCACAAAAAGGTCAAAAAACAACCATTAATTGGTATAGCACTGCTTAATCAGAGGCGTCCAAATCAATCGCTCTACAACAAATGAGAAGACTCGCTGAACTGGACGAGTTTTACGAGATAGTTGAAGTCAATGACAACCATTGGTCATCAAATAGGGACATTACTTACAAGGTTTTCGTAATATTTAATCAAATCATGCTAGAGTTTGAACTACATTAACACTCTTTACATGCATTTTCTCCAAAGCTTGATGAATGAAGTTGTAGAAGAAGAAAAAAAATGTAAATAAAGATCAAACAAGTTACTTGTCATCTCAAAGCTTGCTAAATGGTTTTATATTAGCCGAAGTCATCCATTGCTTAGCCAAAGCAATCAGTTGCCCGTTATCTTTCCTTCTGACTTCAACCTGCACAGACGCAAACTTTCATGTCCCCCATAACCTTAGCCTGTATCTCAACTTCTTCCTGCACCCATTAATTACCATTGCATATTTGTGATTAATCGGTATTAATAGCACTCTTGACTCTATAATTGAACCACCCATTAATCATTATGTAAAGTTTTACAGAAAACTAACACACAAAACTACTATGTGTACAGGAATTTCTAGATTAAAGCAGCTCATCTTAGAAGAGGATAAGAAATTGTACTTGAATCTTAACAATTGAATAAAAGGAAATATTGAATTCAACCGATGCCTTGGCATGGCCAACTGAAGCGTATACGGCAAAACCCCCTACAATATCAATTAATGTTGCCATAGCTCTCACTTCCCACTTTCCATCTTTATCCTGCTTTTCATATATACATATACATTTATAAGCGACGCATTAACTTAATTGATTAGATAGCTTTACAAAGAATAAAATGATAACTAACATAGACTCAAATAAATAGAGAAGAGGACAAACAAAGTTTACCCCATGGCAGATTGTTATTATGAAATTACAGCGTACAAAGCCCTGTTGGACTTCCACCACTTGAAGGCCGCCCTTAAGAATTATGGTGCCCAACTCGTGACCAAACTCATCCTTTGATATTTCTTCAACCCTTCTCCTTATCTTCTGCAGCAGATTGTATTTCATTCTCTCTCTCTCTAACATCCACTCTCCTGATCAGTGGAACTTCTATTCTTATAATTATTTATATTGGTCAGATTTATGCTCCATTAGCAATAAAAAATTTATTTACAAAGTCTTCTTTCTGAAGATTTCACAATTAATATATATTTCATATTTTAGTATATTATATCATAGACATTTGTAAAGATTGTATTATTATATTATTACAATTAATAACTATACAACCTAGTTGATTAATTGGAGAGAAAAACACATAGATTCAGTTTTAAAGGTTAATTCATAGCTGGGTATCAATCTTCTTGAATGAACCATTTTTCTTTGCTTCGAGTTTGCAATTGAAAATTAAAACAAGAGATTCTTTCAGCATCATCAAAGGTAGAAATTTCTGGAATATCAACCTTCCATTTGCCATTCACTCTAGAAACAAAGTCTTCTTCCTTTACTCCTTTCATAAAGAGCCTTTCCGCCTTTTCCCAATTACCTTGGGTTCTTTGGCCACAAACTGTGCATAACCTGGAGGTAATCCAGGATATTTTTCCTGCAGACTTGCCGCAAACTGATCTAGAACATCCTGACCACCCATGGTCAATCTAAATCAATCCTTAAACTAGCTGCAAAAGTCTGACTCTTTATATGGTTCAGGATCTGGATCCAACTGGGATTCGCCGTACCAATAAGGAATTACCACCTCAGCCTTTTCCAATCACTTATTTCGAAGTTCCAACTCGGCAACTTCAATGGTTGAAATTCAGCAGATAAAGCACAAAATTTTTGTGCACCCTTGACTAAAGGCCTTTTGGATAATATCCAAAACTCGCTTTACTCCTAGCCAAGTCAGATCCTCTTCTCGAATATCTGGGTTCCCGTTACAGAGGTCTAACACAACCTGTTTAACCTCTTGTTCCGTATATCCTCCAATAAGCCACACTTGCTCGATGTCACTTAGAACCAAGGACATCTCTTATTTTACTGACTTAGTAAAATAGTAAAACAAGAGATTGAGAGAATGAATTTTTCACAAACTGAAAATATTATTAATTTTTCTCTGAATAAGATTGTACATAAGCTTCTCCTTATATAGAGAATTCTAGATTTCAAATGTATCGAATCCGTAAAACAAGACAAAACAAAGATAATGACATTGAGGTCAACATGTCTCTCATATGTCATACAAAGATAAATTATTATATCTTTAATAATTACAAAAGTACAAAACATACTTATTACAAAAGACAAGACAATATAATTATTATAAAAGACAATACACAACATCCAAAGCCTTCTTTAATCTGGATCGTTGAATCCTGTTGGCAAAATCCTAGATGTCTACGCATTATCTTCCGTTTGTCTAATACACGTCATTGTATTACGTGTTGGACATTTTCGGTCATCCAAATCTCCATCCTCTAGATTTTATGAGTCTTTGAAGTTATCTACTTCTATAAGATCAATAAAATCTTTCAAAGTCTCATCTTCTTGGGCTTCCTGGTCGTGGGCTAAGACCATCCTCAGAAGATCAATAGTACCTTCCATTAAAGCCTGCTTTGATAGATAGACTAAATCAAACCCTTTTAATAACGTTCTTAACTGGGCTTGGCTATGCTTGAAGAGTGTATCCTGGATTATCGCATACATGTCTAGTAACACTATCACTATCCCATTATGGATATGGACAGTAGCATTTGCTTTAACAAGCTCCTCTAGTTTGAATTTAACAAGTAGCAATTTTGCAATATGCAACCTGGTCCAATCTTTCTCTTCTTTCTTTTGAATTTCTTCTAGTGCATAATAACTATTTTTACCTTGTTATCTAACATAATTCGGTACCACAGTTCTCCTACAAAAAACTCCTATATTTGTGCAAGTTGAACATTATAGTTCTCTTGCAATGATTAAGTAATCATGCAAGTGAAAGTGTCGACCTTTCGATTCAGTACACAGAGCGTTTGTTTAACCGCATCTGGCATATTTGGGTCCACCATCGCTTCCTGTATATCACTTTTCATTGTATCGATCCATCCTCTATCCAAAAGGTTTTTGCAATAACCTTTTCTAAAGATTTTCCATGGAACGTACAATTCCATAGTACCATTAGGATAAACCTTGGACCAAATCTGCCAAGTCGGTTTTCCCTAATTTCACTATTAAATCATTCAAATTTTCAAGTTTGAGATTTACCATGTCAAACAAATGACATTTTCTCATTATCTCGAGTTTTTGAATTCCTGCTTCATAAAGCAGAGCAATTCCTCTAAATTTCTCGTCCTCATAAAATAGTTTATCAACTTCCAGCCAAGCTAACCTTCTCGCTAGCTTCTTTAAACACCTTTGCAGTCGTACTTCCCTTTGACCTGTCGCCAATGCAATTCAAATTTGGGTTTCCAAATCCTCCCAGTGTGTTTGACTAGCTGGAGTTAATCTTAAACCTTCTGGAAAGCTAAACCTCTCACAAATATCTGTGTCTATTAATCGCTTTGTTTGTGGAGTATGTAGAGTCACCACGCTTGCAGCACCTAATGATGAATCCTCATGAGTTTTTGTCTTTGGCAGTGGACAATTAGCCTGCTCATGTCCTTCATGTTTACAAGACCAGCAAACTATTGCTTTCTTCTGAGTCTTTTGGTTTTCCTTCTTAGGAGTAACCGACTTTTCAAAAGTAATTTCCTTCGTAGAAATACATTTCAAATGTTGAAATTTTGGGTTTCTTCTTTCCGAAGTATCAGAGTCATAGTCCCGACTCTTTCCTTTTTTAACCTGCTTTGCCGCAGTAACCTGCTTAGGAGTAGAGATCATCCGCAGTCTTCTCCTTTTTTGCAGTAACCCTTGGAGCCAAAGTTATCTTTAAGGTACAATTCCTTCTCAAGTGTCCTCGTTGTTTGCACTTAGAGCATGATAAGTGATTTCTAGTTTCCTTCTTGTCCGTCATTATCCCATAATTCTTCAGAGAAATGTCTGGACAAAAAGTCAGCAACAAAGTTAGATTTACCAGAAATATATTCAAATTTGATTCTATAATTTGCAAACCAAATCTTCCATCTGATTAGTCTAGCTTTGTCATTCTTTAAAGACAGTTTCATAAAAGTTTTTAAATATTTAGAGTATGTCTTTAAAGTAAATTCCTGACTGATCACGAACAATTGAAATCAGTCAATACATTCTTTTGCTGCTAAAACTTCCTTTTCATGAATAGGATAGTTGATCTCAGTAGGAGAGAATTTTCCTGACGCATATCGAACAATTCGTTCAATATTGTCAGTACCCTTAGCCTTAAGCACACCTCCCCAGTACAAGTGAGACGCATCACTTTCTATAATAAGCACATCCTCATCTTTCGGGAGTTTTAAAGGTTTTAATTGCTTTATCAAGGCTTTGGTCTGCTTAACACAGTTAGTGTCTTCAAGTGTCCAAACCCAGGGCACTTTATCACTAAGCTTAAGCGTCAAGCCATTGATTACATTAGCAAGATTAGGAACATACTCGCGCATGTAATTGGCTAATCCAAGAAATTGTTGTAACATGTGCTTATCTTCCAGCACATCTGAAAATCCCAACAACTTCTTTGAGATATGTTCTTGAAGTTGAATACCTCCTTCACCCATCTCAACGCCTAAGAACTTCACCTTGTTCTTAAACCATTCTACATTTCTTTCAAATAGAATCATTCCGTTATCAAGGAACCTTTTGATTACCAGTCTAAAATGATTTACATGCTCTTCTTTGGTTTTACTAAGAACCAGAACATCATCAATATAGACTACACAAAAGTTAGATAAGTCTCCAAAAACCTTATCCATCTTCCTCTGGAATATTGATGGTGTCTGCTTAAGCCCAAAAGGCAAAACCATCCATTCAAACAATCCTTTCGGACAGGTGAAAGCCATCAAAGGAATGCTTGACTCCTCCATTCTAATCTGCCAGAATGTTGACTTTAGATCAAATTTTGAGAAGATTTTTCCAAATCTAGCCTTATTCAAACAAGCTGATTTGTTTGGTATCTTATAGGCATCGTCAATAGTTTTATCATTTAATTGCCTATAATCGATAACCATCCGCGCTTTTCCTCTTTCCTGCTCAGCTCTATTCATAACCATGAATGTTGGCGAGGAGTGTGGGCTTTTACTAGCGCGTATTAATTGCTTATCCAGCAATTCTGGTATTTGTTTGCTAAATTCCTCCTTTGCATCAAGAGTATAAGGATAGGATTAGGTAGTTGTCGTATCATCATCCTTCCTTAATTTAAGTGAAGCATATATACCGTTCCTTTCCCATAACTTTAATGGTTGATCATCAAAGCATGGAGAAATTTCCTCTTTAAAGGATTTTACAAGTTCCTCAATCCTTGAAAAGTTCTTTTGGCTTTTATTTTTTACCTTCAAGATTATCTCCTTATGTGTGAATTTATTCGTGCTCTCAGGGCATGCTCTAGAGGATCCAACCTCCTGTAATATACCCTATGCGATCCGATTTATATGCTGACTTGGATACAAGCACAAGAGGTGGTCAATAATTTATGGTCTAATTCTAATAGTTGAAATGAAACGAGACACATGGTGTAAGCATGACTGCCAAATCCAATAACAAAATAGTTTGGTGATCGTGCCGCGTTTGATACTATTACCACATCGAAAACTCAATGTTATAAAATACTAAATTATGTAAAGGTTTTTTTGGGGCAGGTGTCTACTAAAATTATCTTTAGATTTGCCATGTCATAGTTTCGGATTTTAATGACATTCAAAACTGTCTTTCCTGCCAGTTGCCAATGGACATGTTTATGACAACTGATAACCCATAATTTTCATTAATATTACATTCACAAACTTTTCTTATTAATTTTCTTTTACAAACAAACGTATCAATTCATAATTGATCAGTTCGCAATGGAACTTCTTCTCATTAATTTTTCTTTTACAAACATGACATATCAATTCATAATTAATCAGTCTCTCAATGGATCATGTCTAACCAAATACGAATTACCACGCCAGCAGATCAACGTAATAACTGCGTTTTTGTGTAAATAAAACAAATTCAACAGATTAACACTGATTCAATTTATAGTTTATATGAAGATTGGCATGAAGCCATGACTCTTGACGGTTACAGGTTGCAATACCACCAATATAATCGGCCTAAGTAAATGGCCTTGTTGCAGCAATCCGAAAAAGACAAGTACTGGCTATTAACCAAACTCTAGTTCCCTGTAATTAGGAATATACAACATGAACTGAAGATTCTGGGATAATTAGTGCACAAAAGGGATTTAATGAGCATATCGTACCTCCATAAACTTGATCAAAATTTATTACTTTAATTCCCTGTAGTTAGGAATACAACATGAAAATGGCTACTTTTATTTATGCAGACCAATAAAGAAACTGAACCATGAACATCCGAAATTACTTCATTAGAAATAGTATAAATGATTTGATGTTTTCAATCAAGTCCGTCATCTGTTTTGCAGAACACTTTCTTTAAATGTTGTGATCAGTAATTAAGCTCAAAGCTTACTCACTATCCTATCCTGGATTGCTGAAGTCATCCTGTTTACCCAAAGCAATTAGTTGTCCAGAATCTTTCTTTCTCACTTCCATACTACTGATGTAGCTGTCCTCTCTCCCCTGCAACCTTTGCCTCTATCTCTACTTCTTCCTGCCATTGTTTTTACTATTTATTGTTATACTTCATTTACTTTCACAACATAATCGCACACAGCTTACATTAACATATCTAGAATAGGTAGTACAAATATGCTACTAGATGTAGTTTAGATTTAAAAAACAACATTTCATTTCTTCTAATCTTCGTTCATAAACTGGTTTTCTATTGCAATAAGCTATTAACATTTCACAATCAATTTATGATGTTATGTTATTCTATTATTTGCGTTAACATTGTAAAGATAGGCATTGGCATACCCAGTTCATAAAACTGAACTAAACCGGCATTTTCCACATATGATAGGGTCAGAATAATAAAGTGTTTAGATTGATTTCATTAGAATAAGAAAATATACCTGAACCTTAGTGGTGGAAAAGAAGAGATGGTGAAGTCAACGGAGCCTTGATATGCCAAAAAGGAGTAAATGGCAACCGCTCCAACGTTGTCTATTATGGATGCTATGGATCCAACTTCCCAATTTCCATCTTTATCCTACATTACTTAAATACACATCTTAACCTTATAAACATGGAATAAAATAGTAATAATAAAAGAAGGAAACCAGAAATACTGCTAGCTTCACTGGTACGAAATAACTGCAGCGTATAAAGCCTTCATAGCCTTGACGATTTTAAGATCCTCCAGTATTATGTTTTCCAATTCATAACCGAGCTCGCCCTCTATTAGTTGTCGAAACCATTCGTTTGCCCGTGCAACTTTCTTGCTCATTCTAGATCTTGTGTTTTCTGGTTTTTTGACTTGATTAGGTGGCAGCTTGTTTCTCGATAATTATTAGTGGTGGTGATAAAAGAATTTTGGAAGATTTCTCATTGATGCCCATCTCTTTTATCTCTACTTTTTGAGTTTTTGTACTTTCGATGCTTAGCTAATATTCCACCCTTTATTTTTTTAAACTTTTTTTCACGTGGACCTGAGAATTCAGGCCGGGTGTCGGTGTACTGACTTATGACTTTTGGATGACAGCTATTTTCCCTTTTTTTTAATTCAGGTATTTATTTAAATAACGGATATAAATTAAAAATGAGATACGATCTGTATTTCATTATTAAAAGTTTAAGTTAAGTTAAAAAAAATGGGTGAATTAAAAATAATAATTAGATTCAATCTCTCCTTGTGGTTTTAGTGCTTCTCTCGTGTGTGTGTGTGTGGGGGGTGGGGGGTGTGTGTGTGTGGGGGGGTGGTAGACAGAATAATAAGGACGTTAAGTTGAAGAGTTGTTTGTAAGTTGTAATACCTTACGATTTTAACAGAAACGTTAGGGTTGTCCACAAAGGTCAAAAAACAACCATTAATTGGTTAGCACTGCTTAATCAGGCGCCAAATCAATCGCTCTACAACAAATGAGAACCTCGCTGAATTGGACGAGTTTTAGGAGATAGTTGAAGTCAATGACAACCAGTGTCATCAACTAGGGACATTACTTACAAGGTTTTCGTCATATTTAATCAAATCATGCCGAGTTTGAACTAAATTAACACTCTTTCCATGCTTTTCTCCAGAGCTTGATGAATGAAGTTGTAGAAGAAGAAAAAAAATGTAAATAAAGATCAAACAAGTTACTTGTCATCTCAAAGCTTGCTAAATGGTTTTATATTAGCCGAAGTCATCCATCTTAGCCAAACAATCAGTTGCCGTTATCTTTCTTCTGACTTCAACCTGCACAGACGCAAACTTTCATGTCCCCCATAACCTTAGCCTGTATCTCAACTTCTTCCTGCACCCATTAATTACCATTGCATATTTGTGATTAATCGGTATTAATAGCACTCTTGACTCTATAATTGAACCACCCATTAATCATTATGTAAAGTTTTACAGAAACTCACACAAAAACTACTATGTGTACAGGAATTTCTAGATTAAAGCAGCCATCTTGAAGAGGATAAGAATTGTACTTGAATCTTAACAATTGAATAAAAGGAAATATTGAATTCAACCGATGCCTTGGCATGGCAACTGAAGCGTAACGGCAAAGCCCCCTACATATCATTAATGTTGCCATAGCTCCCACTTCCCACTTTCCATCTTTATCCTGCTTTTCATATATACATAATATTTATAGCGACGCATAACTTAATTGATTAGATAGCTTTACAAAGAATAAAATGATAACTAACATAGACTCAAATAATAGAGAAAGGACAAACAAAGTTTACCCCATGGCGGATTGTTATTATGAAATTACAGCGTACAAAGCCCTGTTGGACTTCCACCACTTGAAGGCCGCCCTCAAGAATTATGGTGCCAACTCGTGACCAAACTCACCCTTTGATATTTCTTCACCTCTCCTTACTTCTGCAGAAGATTGTATTTCATTCTCTCTCTCTCTCGAACATCCCCTCTCCTGATCAGTGAAACTCTATTCTTATAATTATTTATATTGGTCAGATTTATGCCCATTAGCAATAAAAAAATATTTACAAGTTTCTTTCTGAAGATTCACAATATATATATTTCTATTTTTAGTATATTATATCATGGACATTTGTAAAGATTGTATTATTTATTACTATATTCTATTGTGGAGTTGTACCGGAGACAACGGCTTGGGAGAAAAAGGGGATCAATCTCTCTCTGGCTACTAACTAAAGGAATGACTTTGAGATCTAACATGGAGCTACCTGCCCAGAGAGACCATGGGCTGCTGGGCTAAACCTATCTATGCCTATGGGATAAAATTGAACAATAAAAAAGAAAGGTCTCTACGGTTCAATAAGCAAATGAAACTTTAAGTTTCAACTAAGAAACAAAGAAAGCGAAGATCAAGTTCCCTATTTTGAGCTCTCTAAACTCATGACAACCAATCAAACTAAAACAATCAAGATATTGGTACATGCCAAATATTATTAACACCAATCAAGCTGCTAAGCTCTTGCGATCCATTGAGCGAGTAAAAACCCTGATGTATAGAGGATAATTATTTAATTTCCTCAACTAAGAAACAAATAAAATGATGCAACATGTAAATTTTTATATAAAGTTACTAGCGAGCTAGGTGTTTCTATGTCAAAGCTTACTCCCTTGACTTGAAGTTGTCCATAGTTTACCCAAAGCAATTAGTTGTCCACTATCTTTTCTTTTGACCTTCACCTCTACCGATGTAAGCTTTCCCTTCCTCTGCACAACCTTTGCCTCTATCTCAACTTCTTCCTGCCATTGTTATAATATACCTCAATTAGTCAAACTCAACAACCCTGTATGGCATGATAGAAACAATCAAAATAACTTCAATGGAACTAAGGGGGTTATAATGTAACGAAACTAATTAAACGAGCCAAAGTACAAAAAAATAGCAGCTAGCTCCATATGAACCTTTTTACATTACCTCGCACCGTTCTAATATTAGCGAGAGAAATATTAGCTTACCCAAATTATAAAACTAGGCCTTTTTGCTTCAAAACAGAGATGAAGAAGCAATTTCCAATTAATCATAAGCACTTGTTTTATTGGTTCCAAGTATTACCATAACAATATAGATAGAGATAATTGATTAATTTCATTGACATGCCTGACCAGATTTTGCAGATTTACTATGAACAAATCACAATTGTGGGTTCAAATGAAAAGATTACAGTCTGGTTGAGGACTGAATCAGTGAATATGAGGAAGACCAATTGAAACTTGGAGGTATCTTCAGTTAAAAATTAACAAATTAATCCAATGTTTTCAATTATTTGAATGAACTAAATGTTCTCTAGTCTCCTAATTATTGACTAACAAAAAGACAAATCTGAATGCAGATTAGAAATAAATTAAAAAAGACAAAGCGTATAAAATAAATATGGATAGTAAGAAAATGTACCAATATCTTAACCGTGGAATAAAATGAAAGGCTGAAATCAAGAGAGGCCTTGACGTTGCCAGAAAAAGAGAAGGCGGTAGCAGTCCCCAAACTGTCGATTAACGTTGCCATTGCTCCGGCATGCCAATTTCCATCTTTATCCTACGAAATACAATACATGCAGATAACCCATGAACAAATGATAAATCAATTAATTATTAAAGTAATTAATAACAAAGAAATAAAAATAAATATTTACTGCTAGGTGGGTTGGAACAATGAAATTACAACGAACAAAGCCGTTACGAGCTTCTACCAGTTGAATGGCTTCTAGAGTTAAGCTTTCCACTCTCCGACCCATCACGCCCTTCGATTGATCTTGTATCCATTTGATTGTCGTCTCCAGAGCAATCTTGTCCTTCATGTTTCTCTGTTGATAATGGCTTCAGTTTTCCCGCTAGTTTTAGAAATAGAAAATCTCCCAGCCTCCGATAACCGATTAGAATTAGGGATGAGAAAAATCGTACAATTGTATTGGAGGTTGACTCATTATTACTTTTGGTTGCGTGGCCGCGCTGATAAGCCTGATATATTGCAAGTTATCTAATGGTGACAAATCATTTGTCGACGTTGACTCACATTATAAGTCGCAATTTCCCTTGATTAAAGTAAATATTACTTTCAAATCTTACCCTAAAATTTTAAATACGTTAATGGATGTGAATTTTCATGAGAAATTTCGGAAAAGATGACTAAAAGAAGCAATCCAATTACTCAATTCATCATATAAACTATTTTATGTTGTGTTTTGTTTTTCAATTTTCTCTAAGGTTTTTTTTCTTGACTTCCCACACTTAACTATTTTGTATTATTATCCAGACAATTGAGTTTGCAGGATTTTTCAACAATGGTTCACATTATATCTTGTAAATTTCTTTTATGCCCGAACATAATACCCCCAGTGCCAACAGGAGATAACCTCACGACTTACAGAAATGAATACCAATAGAGAAAGACAATATAAACAAAGCAATTTCATTCCCATGAGATAGAGAGATGGTGGTTTTATCTAGCCATATATTGATTTGTTGGAGGATCATTTACTTGTGTATTTCCTCCTCGTTGAGCAAGTATTCTTCATACCACCCTACAAACAACATCAACAAAATGCACAATTAAGCCATGCCAACGAGTAGATTTATTTTATAAGAAAAGAGGAAAGCAAAAGTGAAAGCTAATTGCCTAGAGCAAGATCAATGTTCCTGTTTTTAAGCTCTCTAAACTCCTGGCAGAGGGAACACCATAGGCAGAAGGTATGAGAGATGAGATCTGAGTATGAAGCCTCTACTAAATTATACTTCCTCCTCAACTTTTCTCTATAGTTTGATCCAATAATCCATTGAGAGCACAAAATTGGCATCGTCGTGTACATGAAACTCGGCTCCCCATAGGACAAGCTGCAACACAAACTTCCATCTTTTAGTTACTTGCTAACAAAATCCCAATAGCTGAAATGATGAGAATAATGAGAGAGATTATAAAAAATAAAAAAAAAATTAAAAATTAAAAAGAAAATCAATGGAAAAGAGGAAACTTACTTCATCTATAACTTCTGCTATCTGCCCATAAGAATGGCTGCCAAAAGGCCCAAAACCAATAAGAAAGTAATTTACTGACCCTTTATTAACCTGTCGCTTTTAATGCTAAATCATACACGTCTACAACCTTCATAAACGACACGGTATCGTTCTTATTTCTTGGTAGTAAAAATTCACATGTTTTCATGCAGAAGAGAAAAAACTGTAACCTTTGTAAAATAAAATAACAAGATTCAAAGGAATATAGCAAAAGTAAGAGGGTTATAATGTTATTTTTCTTTCTTTCTCAATAACCCAATTCAAAGAGAATATGCGTCGTGTGCTAATAGCCTGTCTTGGTTAGTTAAAATATAAAGAATAATTTGTCTCACTGCTTTGTAATCTGAAATGAAACAAGACCTTCCAAACTTCCTTTAAAATCAATGCCATGAAACTTCACCAAACTGATTACTCAGGGCTAAAAACATGAGGAACCAGCCTGCCACTTGATAAAGTTTAATGATTTTGGACCAATTCATTTCCAAAACACTTCATAACCCATTTAGTGACATTTGAAGTAAAATATTAGTGGGATATATATCTCTTACATGTACTAGAAGCATTCAAGTTTCTTTCTGCTCTGTTACTTCTTCACCAAAGAGACACAAAATAGCTCCGTTATCCACTCAGACATGTCATTTTAGGCAAGACTCCTGTCCTATCTAAATGAACATTTATGTGGGGAAATCAATCTCATTGTTAAGTCTAGAACGAGAAAAGGATAAAAGAGATCCTGATTAGATGATTCTAAAAGGGGTACATTCTTAGTTGGTAGTAGCAATAAACAGGTCCAAAAGCTCTGAAGTAACTTGTGAAGAAGACATATACTAGATTTAACCAACCACAACATCAAAGAAAATAAAAAAAGATTCAGCTTGATGACAAGGGAAGTTGAAATCAGATTATGTTGAATTTAACATGCAATAAGCTTATAATAAGGGAGAAATACTTGAATTTTTATACAGATCAAATTCTTAATTGGTAAATGTCGAATCATAATATATCACTCAAGACACGAAGGAACCAGTCATTGCTCGATGATCAGTAGTGCACACAATTGTATGCATAGTTCGCACCCCATAGTAAGACAGGTAAGACAAGTGGTAGGATTACACATTATTGACCATGCAACCTATTCCACCAGAAGGAAGGTGAAGCTCTTTCTGGAGGAGGAGGTGTAAGGAGGTCTAGCATGGTTTCCTTTTCTTTTGGGGTCAATGGAACACCTCTAACAAGGTTCAAAGCCATGATGTGCACGTTTGTCTTTTTCCTGTGCTTATTGTAAGCCCAAATTCCTGCAGCAGCACCTGCAACTAAAAGCTGTCCCAAGCCAATACTTCTAAATAAGTAGAATTTCACAGAAAGAGTTCACTATTATTTCTAGATGGTTCTTTTAACCCTAAACTGACCGGTGATAGCCAGAAGGCTGCTGTCTGTAGATCAAACTTTGGGGCATAAAGCACTGTCTCCCCATAATCATCTTCAAGCTTTTTGTAGACCTCTTTATCAGTTTTCCCAGAGTGGATCTCATCACGAATTAACTGCAGCATTGTTGCAAATGTAATTAGTGCACAGGTTATATTAAAGTTATTGATTAGAAGATTGTTAAAAAAACATAACCAAAATGGCTAAGCAAACGATGACAGTATATTGTGACTCCTCTTGGATATTGTAAAAGTGAAAAGTATTGAGTACAAAATCAAGATTAATTCCTTTTTAAATCCAATAAGAATTAGTTGGTATAACTTTATTGAGTAGACAGATATGATGCCCAGAACTAAAAGAAAAAACCTTCTCGTAGTCGTATCCATATTCATTCAAAGCAAAAAACATTACCTTCCTCAGGAGAATGGCAATATCTGCTTGTGAATCTTCAATGGATTGACTTCCACACTCAGTGCACCGGACATTGCGACTTATATTTCTTGCCCTAGCGTCCACCATTTGTTTCTTTTTAAACTCATCATCTTCAGTTGCCATTGTCAGAGTATATCACCTCAAGTCCAAAGCAACTATCAAAGAAGACAAACAAAAAATTAATAAAATTATGAAACACACCCGAAATACGAAATAAGATCCAAAAAAAAAAAACTCTTTAAAGATTTTGGTAAGCTTTTGCTCACGCATTTTGTCGAACACTTGCTACACCAAAAGAACAAAAACAAAGTATTTATGAACGCTCCGGTTGGACATCAAGCTAACAAATCCAATAGTTAATCCTACTCCAAGTTCCAAGTTTCTGGATATTCGTTCTAATATGAGTTGATTGTAGAACAAATTTACATGTGCAGAAATATTAACTCCAAACTTATAAATACAAAATACAGAATTAACTATACAAAAATTCCATTTCTAAATTTCTATACGGAACCCAGGTGACTTAAAACATTTTTTTTCTTTTAATTTTCAAGAAATTCAGGAAAAAAAAAACAAATTCTATTTCCTATTTTTTACTCATTACTCATTACTCATTTCAGCCTGAACTCAGCAAAGCCAAATAATTGTATGAGTTCCAGTTACATGAGGTTTTCATCTTCGCCACTAAATATAAAGGAAACAATCCCTAGAATTGAAAATTTCAATTTTCCGAATTTTTATCACTGTTATAAAACGGAGCACTGAAAACAAGAGAAGAAAGTGTATGAAGGAGACAAGAAAAAAAATGTGATCCGTAAGCACCTGCTATACCCTTCGCCCCGTCTGTGTCAACTCTCAACCTTAAAATGCAGGGCTTTTGTTGGGATTTATGCCATGCCACATCTATGTATCTCTACAAATCTTCGGCCTATTAGTATATTAATATTTTTACCCTTATGGTTCCATCACATTTATTTTAACACCCAATGCTTCTGAAATTCTTGAATAGCAACTGGGATTATTGAACATTTGAACTGACTTTGAGTTGGGTATTGCGCTGGTCCATATGGACTTGGCTATTGGGTTTTCGGTCTGTTGGATCTTTACTAAGCCCTACCAGTTGGGTCTAATATGTAAGAAAGAGCAAGAATCTGGGCCTTGTTAATCCAAATAACTATATTAAATCCTTACAAGAATATCAAATGAGAAAGATTTGTTGCGTCTTTTTGCAATTATCAGGTTTTTCCAGTATCACACTTCATCATGGTTTTTTTTCCCCCAAAATTTAACTATGCTTTGACAAACTTTTATGTCTCTCCCATCAATCGGTGCTTCAGTTATGCACTTGAAAGATTCAAGATTTACACTACTGAGTCTTAACATCAGTTATAAAGATATTAAAAACTTGCAATATCAGTATTTAGTAAATATATGTCAGAAACCATGTTTTAGAATGGTAAGGTAAACGTGAAATATGTTAATTTAAAAAATATACAAATCCAGCATTCATGTAAAACTATTACAAGTTACTAGCCCCTTTCACTATGGAATCTTGACTCAGATTGTCAAAAGTGCAATGAAATCTCTCTCATACTCACTTTTCATGAGGAGTAGAGAAACGGTGACCATTTCTTAGTGCATAGTTCTCATCTCGTATTTCAATTTTAAAGCTCATCTTTCACAGTTGCTTGGAGGCATTGTTCATCCCAATAGTAGGGATACTTCAGCTTTGCTGCAGTGTGAGGCATGTACCAGTCGTCGTATATAAACCTGAAGCAAAAGCCAAAGTAATGAATATAAACATACCGATCCAAATCAATCAAAATCTATGCGGAAATAATCATTTAGTAACCACAAAACTTCTAGAGGAAATACTGGCATCTTGAAAGCATATTTAACAGTTTTGGAAATGCAAATGTTTCAAATCAAGCGAGGAAAACAATTCATATATCTTGAATAGCAAAGTAATGGCAAATATAGAAAGTTCAAGGGAATGGAAAAAGAGACATTACTTACACTTTTACGGGCGGACGAGATATTGTGACAAGCACTTGCAAATCCTCATGTTCATTAGTATTCCAGACCTGCAATGAGGCACCATATACAATTCTCAAACTATGGACAAAGACGAGATATGGAAATGCTTCCAGGACAAAAACTATAGCGACTATGTTTATAAGAGCAAATTGAGAATAAAAGTTAATGGTCATTTGATTCACATGGAAGAACCTTGAAAACTATGTCGTTACCAGAATAATGCTCAAAAGATTGCAGTCACAGGTTTTTTCTTCGAATATTTGTTCAGTATACCAAGCACATATTATCTCACTACTCATTATATATGTAACAGAGACAGTCTCAGGTTTTAGAGCCAGACATAAAAATACCAGGTACTGATTTTACAGCAATTGAAAAACTTAACTATAATGAAATTAAGAGGCAGACAATTTTCACATCCGACAATTCTGAGTAGCTCTTGCTGAATACAATAACTTTTAACAGCCTAAGCATTTGATAGGTGATAGCTGTGACATTTTGTATCATGCTAACAACATCAAGAATCTTTCAGATAAACCTTTTGTAATGAGTAAACTGTATAAATAGTATTTGCCTTTCAAGGGTTTACAAGCTGGATGTAAGATGTACAATTATTGTTCATAAAATAGCAAGGTGTATGGTTCTAATAGGCTGGAAAGTAAGATCAAATACTATTTGTTTCTTTGTATTAATAAATCTAATATGCAAATGCACAAAATGTCTGATGCTAACCATCTAAGTGGTAGTCTTCACCTGGTGAGCATCATTAACAGGGATATGAAAGGTGCTATTTGAAAAGATAAAATATTCTTGTGGCTTTCCAGGGTACTTCACATGTGAATTTGAGGCAAGATAGAGAGTGCCACTACCCTTCAGGACAACAAAAACTTCTTCACCGGAGTGCCTGTGTATTGGTGTTCGTGATCCTGGAGCAAATGTTTGAAGCCAAACCTCAACCTGTAAACAGAAATGCCTTAAAACATGAATACCATACTTCGCATTTTTCACTTGTCTGCCACAAAGGGCCGCAATCAACATTGATTCATGCTGTGTGAAAATAGCTTGGATTCTCTAACGATTGACAATAAAAAAAGGGTAAACATCTGTTGTCTCAAAGTAACAACAAAAATTTAGAACCAAAGACAGTCTGGATATCTATTGCAGCATGCCATTCCTCCAGACTTGGTGAAAAACTATTAATACTTCTTTCACCCATACAACCTCTAATCAGTTACCGTGTGATTAACTGTATGACACACCTTGATTTAGCTTCTAATATGATCTTTGCTTTTCTGTAAACAAACCAATGAACCATAAACTCAAGAAATCTTGGATAAGTGAATTCTGAGTAAGTGTATTTGGTACCTCTTTCAATCCAGAGGAGACAGAGCCTGCCAAAGTAATATGGGACAATCCTCCCCTTCCAAAGTTATCCTGTGAAAGCTCACTAATATTTCTTACAAATGGTAACCCTGCAACACAAATAAATTGCAATAAAACATAAAATAAAGAGATATACAAAGGCATGGAGCACATAATAGAGGGCATTCACAAAAGAAATTGCACCAAATCAACAACCTTTCTCCTTAATAAATCACGAGATAATACCATTTCATCATCTCACAATGAATATTCTAAGTTAAACTCGCATCATCTATCCAAGAAATGTAAAGAAATCAAATGCACAAAGAGAACAAGAGTGTGATTCATGATACCAAACATTCCAAGTCTTCATAAAAGAATTTCGGCAAAATGACAAATTTAATTTTTCAAACCCAAATAAGGTACCTAAGAATGCATCACTTTTTCCTACACATTTTGCATCAAAAAGTCGGTTCCAGCACCATTTAACTCCTAAATGAAATCAATTACTTCTATAGCCACCATAAAATTAATAAACTTAAACAAGTAGCTAACTCTAAATTGAAGATTCTTGAGCATACCCAAGAATGTTAAATAGTTCAAGTAGTTTTTGTGCATAACCTCGTTAAAAAAAATTTAAAAAATTTAAAAAAAAAAAAAAGCACGAGATGAGAAAAGAGAATTCACCCTCGATCGAACAATAAGAAGCTTCGGCAGTTGCAGAGAATAAAATCAGACTTAAGCAGAATAAAATGAACCAGGACCTCATTGTCTTCTCGTTGCTGTTATTCGTCACTGCTTACCGTTGTGTTTTTTATTTAATTACTTCAATCTTGTAACCGGGTTTTAGTAGCTTCTAGTACTTCTTCGGGTACGCGGGCTTGGATCTTGATGTAATTCAGTTTTAATTTCTTTCTTTTTAGTTTATCATAAATCTAGTGGGTGTCCGGGTGACCATTTAATAAAAATTAAATACCGTAAATAAAGGAAAATAGATTAAACGATAACAGTTTAAGAGAGAAAAAATATTCAGATTTTCTATAACAGTAAAGTTATGAAAGGGTGGTTTGTAATTAAAATCAAAATCTTTTATTCTTCACGAAATTTAGGCCAAACAAGAGTGGTTTGTGAAATATTGTTATGTCATTATATGATATTCTGGTTTCTCTAACAAGTACAACCAATTATAATTGGTTAAACAAGTTTTAGCTGAATTTAATTCATATAAGTTTTATTAGAAGCTTGATATTTGGAATGATCATTTTCATATAATAGACAAGGTAAGGTCCCTTTGGTTCACTATTATTGTTCTATTATATTCCACTATTCTATCCTAAAAACTCAAAAATGCATTTGTTTTAATATTCTCAAAATCTAATTATACTTTATTCAACTCTTCAAACATTAATTATTACTTTTCTCGTAAAGATAATTCATTTTACTTTTAAAAAATTATTATTCTAAAAAGCAATTTGAAAATAGATTTTTCAAAATCCTCATAAAATTGAACAATTGTCACAAGGCTAGAGTATATAGAAGTTTGATGTATGAAAAAAAATTACTTAGAAAACATTTTTTAAGAGTCAAATTGAAATTTAATCTTTTTATAATTGACTTAACCATCTAATTTCTTTCTACTTTTATCTATACCTGGCAAACGGGCGGGTAAAAGATTTTCACAGTAAGAAAATGTATAACCCGTACTCACGCTCGTGGGTACAGGTCGATCCGCGGGTCACCCACAAAAAAGTTTTTCAATTTTTTTTTCCCCTACTTTTTGTTATTCAAATTTCAAACTCAAAAATGTATACTGTATTAATTTTGGGAAAACATTAAAACATCGGAAGATTTGGACTCCAAAACAAAACCAGGTTCAGCACCGCCACCATACCATTACCAGACAAAACCAATGGCTCTCAATGATAATCAATGGGCATGACATCCCCTGTTTTTTTCCCATTTATTATAAATGGCCCACATCGATCAATGACTCTCAGATAACTTAAATCTTTGCTTTTGTTTTTTAAGGCTACTCTTCTTCTTCTGGTGACTCAACTTCTTCATCTCAAAAACCAAAACTTTGATTCTGTGGAAACGATACTCAATCAGTTCCCCTCCTCAACATATTTAGCTGACTAGAACCAATTGACACTAGAGACTAACAACTATATACAAGCAATTGTGGAAGATGAAGATTTGGCAGAGTTGAGGGTTTGCCTGACACGCTCTGATCTTAAAGACTCAATTTCTTTATTGCAAGTTTTATCTCTAAGTCTTTCTTTTCGTTTGTGTTTTCCATTTTCCATTTTCTTCCTGTACATGCACAAGATATGCATACGATTTATAGAAGAAAAAAAATATTTCATCAACGAAATTTAATAGAGAAATTTCATACTAGCTCTCTCCTCTACTCTACCAAACCCAACACCTAACAACAAAGATTGAGCTAAGCCCCTGCGGCGACGACGTGAGACGATGAGAGTGAGAGAGATTGTCAGATTCAGAGTTGCTGCTGTGCGTCGGAGTGAGAGAGATTGAGAGCTGCTGTTCGTCGGCGTGAGTTTGAGAGAGTTTCAGTCGAGTTTTATTCGAGGAAATTTAACTCCCAGGCCATCCCAAGTTTGCATTTAACAAAATGGCCTTGAAACTGTTTTTCATTTTTTTTTTAATTTAGAGAAGATGACGTGGCATAGTTAGGATTAATTAAACACGTAAAAGGGGATAAAATGAAAAGATTAAACGTATAAGGAAAACATAATAATTAATGAAAGTTTTTAAAATTTTAAATTTGAAAAAGAAGTCCCACCCATTCAAATCGCTTAATCGAAACCGACTAAGGCAAAAATCGATTCTTCAAACCGTAAACACACTCTGCGCAATTTTCGGCGATAATAGTCCACATTCCTACAAATTTTCAAACCCAAATTCAATCCTAAAGCTTATTCCTTTCTTAAAACAATGGCTGACATTCACAATGACGAAGAAAACCCAACGCCTCTTCGAATCGTAGAGTCCGGTGGCACAAACAGTTCAATGGCTGCTCCGATAGATGTTCCGATCAGTGAAGGTGTTCCAGCAGCGGAGATGACGGCGACACAACAAGAGAGAGAACAAGAGCAAAACAGTTCTGGCGAGGAAGAGGAGGCCGGCTAGAATTCAGGCGAGGAAGAGGAGTCCCGCAAGAGTTTAGACGAGGAGGAGGAGGCCGCCGAAGAAAAGGTATCGGTACTGTCACTTAAGCGATGTGGGATCGCTTAAGCGATAATGTCCAAAGCATACTGAACATCTGATAAGAGCTAAGATTGTATCGCTTAAAAGATTGATGGCTTTTACTCTTGGTCGCTTAAGCGATATAAATGATCGCTTATGCGATCTTAGATCTGATAGATGTTGATTCTGCCTCGTAGAAGATCTCTTAAGCGATCTGTAATCGCTTAAGAGTAAAAGAGTTGAATCGCTTAAGCGATCTTAGAACTGGCAGATGTTGATTCGGCCTCGTAGATCTCTTAAGCGATCTGTAATCACTTAGACTGGCAGATGATTCTGCCTCATAGAAGATCTCTTAAGCGATCCTCTTTTACTCTGGGTCGCTTAAGCGATTATAGATCGCTTAACAGTAAAAGCGATGAATCGCTTAAGCGATCTAAGATCTGGGCAAATGTTGATTCTGCCTCGTGCAATATCGCTGAAGCGATCTGAAATCGCTTAAGCGACCAAGAGTAAAAGCAAAGAATTGCTTAAGCGATCCTATGTATCGCTTAAGTGATTAAAAAAAAAAATCGCTTAAGCGATTCTTCGCTTTTACTCTTGGTCGCTTAAGCGATCTTGCACGAGGCAGAATCATCTGCCCATCGCTTAAGCGATTCTTCCAGAGCGTATTTTGTTTATATTTGATTTGGTTAAATTTTTTTGGTGATATTTTGTTTATATCAATTATGCAAATTTTTCGGAGCATAAACTTTAGAGAGTACGGGTTAGAGTGTGTAAGCGATACGGTACTGTACTTCCCTATACGGGTGATAATGAGGTCAAGTTGGGATGTTTTAACGAGAATAATAGGGATTTTACGGACACTAAGGAATGGTGAAAGGAGATTCAAAGAGACTTGTTTCAGTCAATTTTGGGATATGGACACAAAATGGAAAAAGACATTCTGGGGGTCAGGAGTGCATTATATGTTGCTGCACTCAATAAAAAGCAAAAAAAAGTACGAAATATGGTTCGTGGTGGATGGAAAGCCACTACGTTTCCGGATGATGGAATATGCATTGGTGACTGGCTTAAGATGTGGGGAATTGCCAGGTGAGGTTGAGGCAAAAGGAATAAAGGACAGTCCGACAGCCAAAAGGTTGGCTAACAAGGTTTTGGCAGGAAACACGTCTATTAAGGCACACGAATTAGAGGAAAGGTTAATAATGATGAGTTTAACGATTCAGAGACGTTCAAACTGTGCTTGGTTTTGTTCTTACATTCAATCCAAATGGCTGGTGACTCAATAAAAGCCATTGATATTGATTGGGTGATGTTTGTAAGCAACTTGAATTTCTTTAATGCTTATCCGTGGGGACAATTATCATTTAAGCGAACCATGGAGTCCCTGTAAGCAAAAGAGCTGGCGTCAAAGCACTCCCAATGGACGAAGAAGGGTAGAAAGGCCACGTACAATTTGTTTGGCTTCCCGTAGGCAATGCAGGTAAATATTAATAGCTTTTTGTTATATTTTTTTTAATATATGTGTTTGAATTATGATATGGACTGTTTTTTTACAATGTAGGCTTGGATGTATGAGGTCATCCCTGTCCTGGCTAAGGCGGGGGGGATTAGGTCTTCTTCGGTTGTGCAACAGACATTTCCTAGGATGTTGCGGTGGCAGGACCAGAAGTGTACCCATTGGGATTATGAGCAAATAGAGATTGAAATTCAATCCGCTCAGGTAAGAGTAAAGGATTAAGCTTTTGAATATGCACTTGCTTTAAAATGTCGCTTAAATCTAATTGATTTTGTTTCTTATTGTAGGGGGTTGTCTGTCCCTTCCTCACCGCTACTGGGGATGAATTGCAACAGGACTATGTCACATCTTTCCAAGCACTGGAGGATGAAATGGATGAAGGGATAGACCGTCTGACGCGGGAGCTACAAGGGGTCACACATGTGAGGGTAGTTACAAGGCCACTGCTTGAGAATGTGGTTGACGCCGAGGAGGATGAAGCAGGAATCAGCGGGAGGCAGGAACAGGTTCGTATGCCTCAGCAAACCGGTACAACAAGTACCTCTTTGCCGAGGCATGCGAGTCAGGAGAGTAAGGTGGTTGACCTCATAAACAGTTTGTTTGATAGTTTTACAACAGCTATTTATGGCAGGTTTGATAGGATGGAAGAGCAGTTGAAAAGGGTGGAAGAGAAAGTGGATAAGGTGGGAGAGAAAGTTGTTAGGGTGGAGGAGGAAGTTGGTAGAGTATTGAAGGCGGTTGAAGTGCAACCTAGGCTGAGAAGAAAGAGCCGAAAGAGCAAGTTTGTGAAATCGCCTTACACTATACTAACACGAGGAATCAAGAGGAAAACAAAGAAACAAAGTGAGGAAGAAGCCAAAATTGAGGAGGTTAAGGAGGTTGCTAGAGGCAGTGAGGCAGTTATAATGGAGGAGGTTGAGGCGGGAGGCGAAGGAAGCGGGGATTTAGAAATGGAGGAAGGGGGAGGAAGCGGGCAAGCAAAAATGGAGTCCACTGTTGATTTGTATAGGCCAATAGAGGAGGAAAAGAAAAAACCCGTCTATGCCTATTACAATGAATCCGGAAGTGATGCCCTTGTAAAGTGTAAGACCGGGGATTATTCTTAGGAATGATTTGGAGAGATTTTG